AAAAAAAAAAGGAAAATTCACAGGACACTGAATGGGAACATGTATGACACAGTTAAGCATATTTTGTTTTCATTCAGTCTCAGGCAGAATCCATGCTTTCCAGAACACCATAAAATGAGTAAGAATACAGCCTTTAACAGAATTAAACTGCAATATAAAGCATGATGTTAAGTTCTTACTGCAGGTCAGAATTATCTATGCTGTTAGACATATTACAATAGAATTCTGGAGGCATATAGGATATACCCTACAAGGTCACTTCAGAACAGAAGCATTTCCAACAAAACTATAGCTGTATCTCTTTATGCTGAACTGAAGACAGTCCAAACTTCACCACTGCAAACATAATGAGTTATGACAACATCCAAAAAAGTTTCTGGGATAGGCCACTGTTGTCACTTACACTGGGCCAAGCTACCTATACTATCCATGTTTTACACAGATATGCAAATGTTTTCCACTGGTTATCAGCAACTGTTCTGGTATAGTTTTAAAACAAAAGCTGATCACTCCTATGCTGATGTAAATGCAATCTTCATTAATTTTTTCAAATTGAAACCAGTAACTATATTACATATTTTAACAGTAAAGTTGAATTTCGGATCTTCTACAAGAGAAGCGGAATAAGAGGGAAAAGGGATTTTTTTTTTTAATATACATTTCAATGTGATTTATTTTCAAACTAGCCATATTTTTTCTTCTGTATACTCACCCTGAATTTTCTCAGGAGTTCCTGAAAACACTAATTCCACTTTGCCATTATCAGGGAAACGGTCATCTGAAAACAAGGGATAGTATCTCAGCAATCTCCCATGAAAGTAGTTCCAAGGCACTCAGAAATCAGGATTCTCTATAGTTATTAATACACGTACTTGTGTCACTCTTCCCTCACTTACAGTTTAGCAATTTGCTTCTAAAAGAGCCACATTCTTTGCCCCACATATTCTCCAGAAAAGACCACATAAGTGTCAGTTAGAGTTCTGTTTACTTTCAAGAACAGTCAAAAGCAGAATAGATGTACAGCTCCCAAACCTCTCTCCAGACAGACATGGCTGGCTTTGGCTCTTAAAGGAAAATACACCCAGGAGCAAACTAAAATTGTTCTCTGTATTGGCTAAACTGCAATACGTGACCACAAAACTTTTGTGTAGCTGTATGTTGCAGGAAAGTATGTTTGATTTTAGTTTGCTAGTAACGTAGGGTTAGGGAGTTACAATCCCGCATATAAACATAAAAATAAAACTGAAGTAATAATTTAGAAAATACAAAGACTAGCACAACACATTTTCAAATGTATCTGAAAACTTTGTCTCCCTTTTTGGATATTCTGAAGCATATTAGATGATCTCCATATTCAAGCAGACTAGGTCACACATACAATATCAGACTTTGTGACCGTATTTATCAACCAAAAAAGGGATCAGTTTAGCTCATCTTACTTCCTGTTATGGTGACTAACAGAGTTGCCGTTTTACACAAATGTCTGTTGTTTTTACAAATGTGAGAGAAGACAATAAGGACTATGTAGGAGTATCTGAACTATTTTGACAAGTTAACTCACTTAAAGAGCTCTTCTTCTCATTAGGGCTTTACCTGTGTTACATGCTATTAGTTAACTAACACAAAGCAATCTCCCTTTCCCTAAAAACAGGGATGGAAAAAACCCCAACAATCCTTGTGAAAGCAGGTCCTGAAGATGATCGTCACATCCACAGGCATACACGTGCACCCACACACACATACAGATCCAATCAACCACAGAAGGCAAGTACCTGTGCTGGCATTGTCCAAGTCCTCTTTCCTAAACAGCAGGCCATGTCCTTGAATAGCTCCAGTGTGAAACTGAAGGCGAAAAATCACATCACGAGTTGCTGACCGGTATTTTTTGTGGTAACACTTCAGCTAGAAAGAGAGAGAGAGAAAAATGTCAGAAAGTAATTTCTTACAAATCTGAACAAACAAAACATGTGTATGCATTAATTGCTAAGTAAAGCAGCCACAGCCCAATTTACTGCAGATACCTCTGATGTTGTAACAAGCAGGGTATGTGTTATTCAAGCCTTTAAAATTATACAGGCTCAAGGCAAGATAGTTCTGGATGTGTGAAAATAATTCTTACTATTTTAATCACTATCTGTCATCAATCAGTAGATTATGATTCAGAATCACAACATTTGTCAGTACAATGTTGGAATGCTGACTTGTATCTGTACTACTTCACAGTACCAAATTAATCTAGAACTGAATAATAGCACGCCCATTTCAAAATAACTGAAGAATATGTGGAGTTTTTAGAAGCAAGCCTGGAAGCGGATTACATCTATTTTAGGACTTTTAAAAAACCCACTGTAGTGATGATAAGATCTTGGTTTATGTTACTGTGGGAAGTTGGTAATATTGTTGACACTTTGGCTAGAATAAAACAGAACTCTGTAAAAATATCATCTAGTACGAATTTCAGCAGCTAAAGGAGAACACTAAACCTACTTTCTAACACTACCTCCCCTTAGACTAGACCTATGAATATTTACCGACTAATTCTCCAAGTAACTGTAATACAAATCAACTCAGCATTCTTACAGGAATACATAAAAATTTTGATAACTTTAGTCCCAGGACTGAAAATTTTATATTATTCTGATATCAGGATTTTATGATAAAGCAGGTGTTACTGAAATGCGTTAAAAAGACAACAACAAAAATAACTTTTTTTAAAGGCAGACTGAGGAAAGTCTTCTAGATAGAAAATACTGAATAACTAAGGAGCAAACAGTTATTCAAACTGAAGTAATATAAAAAAGATGTAGGTGTTTAAGAGGGACACTTCTCAAAGTTGGGATTAAAACACAGTTATGAAATTCTTCTCACTATAGGATTTTAAAAATCTAACATAAGCTGTCGCTCTCTACCCTTCATTATAGTAACTCTATGGTGCCTTAAATTCCGGAAGTTAATCAGTGCTGACCATATACATGGCACACAGGACAACTTCTGAAATATTTCAGCCCATATACCAGAGATATTTTTTTTCCCCCAGGTATTCTCTATGCAAAACCATATATTCCTAACCCTTTATAAAGGCTGGGAGATTCTGTATGTAAGTAAGCATTATTTTATCTGAAAGTGAGGATTTGGGGTTGTTTGTTTCTTTGTTTTTTTAAAAGAGATTCTCCTACAACATAGTGGTAATACCAAGGTAAAATACTATTTGCTTTTTATTTTAAACAGCACTTTACTCCCACTAAAATTAACATAGTGTGCAAACCCCTACATATTAAAGGGATCTATTTCCTTTTAGTCCAACACAACTACCAGCATCATTTCACAAGAACCATAGCAGTAAATCAGTCTCTTAAATTACCAAATTGTAAGGCAGGAGAAACCATTAGACTCTTTGATTCAAGGATAAATAAATGCTCATTCTCCACTATGCCCAGCAACTCTATGTAAAGGCAAAACACCACCAAAAAGGATGAAAATTGCAAGTCTGCCCAGAAGTGAAAAAAAAAAGAGCCCCTGATGAGAAATATTAGAACTAACCTGCTCCAAAATGTAGAACTGGCCTGAAAATAACTGTGAGATAATTCTATGTAATTATATTATGTGAGCAAAAGGAATCTTGAAAAGACTTAAGAGCTTCTTTAAGGTTATATACATTCCTCCACAATTTTGTGTTAAAACATTAACTTCTTTAGCTGTTTAAACAATCACATTACTTTTACACGTGGATCATACATGAGAGTTACTGAAGATGCAGAAGACTAAATACCTGAACAATACATTTTATCCTCCAACTTGTCAAGAGTTTTGGTTTTGCACAGTTGCTGGATTTACTCAGAATCTACTGTCTTTTACATAATCATGTTTATAAAACCGCTGAATCTGGGTCAGTTCAGAACTACATAGTTCTTGCTTCTTTCTTCTTTCTAATTCAAAGTATCAGCCCTGAATAATTTTAACTTAGCATATCCTCAAGAACTTACTTACACAGAACTGTAATTCTTTATGAAAATCTGACTGCTCTTACAATCTGTAACAGTGTACATCTATATCCAGGATATGAAAAAACATCTTTTAGTGCTTGGTATACATAACAAGCTTTCAATGAAGTCTAAGCTTAACTTTGAATTCTGACTCCACTACCTTCTGATGCCATACTCAATAATTAATGCAAGCCACTGCAATATGCTGGGAAATACCTATATGCATTTACAGATGTCAGTGCAGTTTTTCAACAGCTGTGGCTGTATCACTACATACTATTCAAATTGGGTTAACAAATTCTCTAAACCTAAGTCAAGCAAGTAATTTTTTTTTTTAAACCCATGCACTTCAAGTGGTTAAACCTTTTGCAGTTGGAGGCAGAGCATCCTATAGATTTATTTTTTTGTGTGAAACCACTGATGGTTTTGATTATAAGTAGTAAAAAAATACTCAAAACTGAAGTGAAGTCTCTGTTTAGGAAATACTACCATGCGGAATAAGACGCTGGCTTGCTCGAAGAATTACCTTCAATAACAGGATAGAATTAATGAGGTCGATCTCTTTTAAAATGATGCAAGTATTACTGAAAAGCTATGTGCTCATTTTTCATCTTAAACACACATTTGAGAGATACTGAATTTGTCTCAGACTGATTTCTTTAGTGATCTATTCCGTTTCCTCAGCACCAACAGTCCTCCAGTAAGTAACAAATCTTCCTGAATTTGAAACTGTCCCAAGCCTCCAGAGTATACCATATATATATATATATATATGGTATATGGGGAAAGAGAGAGAAAAAGAAATGAACAATATACTAAACTGAATGGGGAGGGGAAGTAGGAAAGGGAGAAGGAAAAGGATAACAAAGATTATTAAAAAAAAAAGGAGGGGGGAAGAACCTGATACCAAGGACCCCTTACACTGACGTCCAATATTTCTCATAGTAGTACATAAAATTAAAAAAAACCCAAACATTCTGAAACCTACTAGCAATAGACCAGGAATACTTTCTGACAATACTTCCCCCCACCATTCATTCCAAATGTTCTTCTGTCCTCTTAGTCTAACAAATTGAAAGGCATGGCAAGTATCTTTCTTTACTTTGTCTGTGCGTAACTGTGCATGACAAGCAACAGAGAAAGCAGAGAGATTTAAAATGATAGTGCAGCAATTCAATTACAGTTACGCTTTGCACACAGGGAATTACATGCACTATATTAGCATGCATAAATTGCTTTCTAAATACTGCAGGTGCCTGTAGAATCCGAAAGCTTTTATTTAGTATTACACCTTTTTGAGTTCCAAACAATTTAGAATTAGTTAGGTATTTCCTTTACAGCATATAATTTTATGATTGTGAACACTGCCTGCCAAGTTACAGGATAAGGATATTTTAATGCCGAGTTACAAATACTCCCCAAAGCAATTTTTACAAAGAAAATAGCAATACAGGCCTTACTGCACTTGGTGATGGTATGAAATGGAAATGCTGACGGCAATTGTTTCAGCTCCTAAAAACCTCTAATTTGAGTTTTATAGGAATTTTGATTCCTATAATACTCAAAGATGATGACTAAATTAACTTAATAACCTATTTTGCAGTATGTCTGCAACCATATGCTCAATTTATTCTTTTTTTATAAGAAGGTAAAACAGGTCAGAGACTGTAAACTAAACATGAGTACTAGATTTTCATGCCATACAATTAACTTACCATAACATCTCCCTTCAAAAGCTGGGCAGGGTCTATAGCAATGCAGATTCGGCTTTGATTTTCTGGCCCTACACTACTTAACAGGAGAGAAAAGAAAATAAAATTTATAGTTTAGATTTAAAAAAAAAGGAAAAAGACTATGCAATTCTGCAATTATGAAAATTCAAACCCGAATTCAAACATAAAGAAAAATGCCTATGACTTACTATATTCCAGATGTGAAAACTGGTTGCATAGCCTGGTACAACTTCAGAAAAGGCCGGCAAGCTGAAAAGAAGTCAACAGAAAAGACTGTTTTGTAATTATTTTTCTTTATCTGAATATTACAACTAGGAAGCTTCATGTGCATCCAGATTGAGTAAAGTGGGCCACAAGTGGCACAGCGTTGACTGTTAAAATACCCTTCAAATCAAAATTTGCTTTGACAGATTCATTTTTCCCCAAAAATAGTATTTGATTACATGTTATGAAAAAAGTAACTTTTTCCTGATTTTCAGACTAGTTCTGAATTGGGGAGGAGGGGATTTTAAAGGATTCTGGTAAGGAAAGAAAGAGGGAATACTTTGTTCTTTATTAAATGTTTCTCTGCCTGCCTTCCCACTTAGTCTGTGGGAAAACAAAACTATCAAGGAAAGAAAGAGAATGGTCAAAACAAAACAAAAAAACCCAAAACTAAAACCCAAAACAAAATAAAAAGCACTTGCAAAATTAAACAAAATATTTGATCTAATTTTGTTTCAAAACTACTAAGTCCCTTAAATTTCATACTACAACAAACAATACCTTGTCTTTACTGAAACAGTCGCTTTAGAAATAAAACCAGACTACAATGACAATGGAGCATTGCAAATTCAAGCTGATGACATTTCAAAAGACAGGCGCTATTTAACTCTCGGATGATAAAAATACAGAGTTATACTCCTTAACTATGCTCTAGCACAGTATCTTGGGTTAGCATTTTAATTTTAAAGCCACTTATTATAGCAGGACACCTTAGAAACACACCATATCCACAGGGCTTTTCCACAGAAAATCCAATCTCAGAACAGAAATGAGATTATATTTATGATTATGTTTATTTCACAAACAAAGAGGAAATGATGGTGAAACCTGACCAGGTTCTCAGTTCTTTTGCAGGGGTCACAACTGTTCAGAAACTAGGCAGACATGAATAGCATCAACTCTTCATTTAACAAAGGACAAGAATTTTATTTCACCTACTATAATTTTTACTCTTAGGATATTTCTCTTCTCCTGGTTCTTTTATTGGGAATATTGGGACTGATATCAAGGAGTGTCAACTCTATACTGAGATTCATGCAGGCTTTCTAGAAAGCTCCAAAACGAAACAAGACTTTGAGCCTACACTTGGATAGGAAGAGTAATTTACCTCCCCCAGCATCAAAGCTTGGGATGCCATGAAGGATAACATAGTGCAGGAAAAGAGGGGTTGCATTCATTTTCACAGATCCAGACAGAAGGCCACTTAAGAATTGCACGTATCTAAAAAATACAAAATTTATCTGAATTAAATAAAAACAGTAATGCAATTGTATCAAGGAAATATAGTCTTTACACATTAGTATTTCTAGGCCATGGGTAGTGAATAGCATTGTGACATTACACAAAACTCCAAAAGAATAATCTTCACAAAATAGCATGAAAAGACACTTTAATTTACCACTATTACATCCATGGCTGTTACATTGCTATTATTGATGTCTTCATTTTAGTTATTTACATCACTACTCTAAATAAGAAAGGAACTAGCAGACATAGTAAAGTCGATCATTTTGGTATACATTTCTAGTCGCAACTGAAGGTCTCAATTGGCTTTCACAGCAGCACAACATTAAGGCAATGCAGGCAAATAATATCTTCATAATGAGAAGCGATCTTACTAAGCGCTAGAGGAAAGCTACCATAGGAACGTGGAAATCGTATTTCTACTATTTAATACCTGGTTTGGTCACAAGCTGATGAGCAAATACGTGCAAGTGAACACCACTGCAGTGTGTGTTAAATTCCTCCTATCTTCTTAATAACCAAGGGGAATCTGTCTCCTTTAATTTTTCTACTAGCTTTGAGTCCCTTTTTCTTCCATGCCCATCACACTACCTTCATTTGACTTCACTCTCAGGAAAATACAGAAAAAAGAGAATCACCTCTTCTTCCTCCTTTTCGCACAGATCTCATTAACCTATCCCTTACTGCATGCTCCTGGTAACACCACAAGTAAAGATATCCTGCTCAATGGCGGCTTTCCTGCCCCAGAATGGGGCTTGTGGTGGTTTAAAATAGGTTTCATTTTATAGACAACTAGCAAAGCTCACTTTATTTTGAAATGTTAAGAAAAGATGACTTTTTGGTTTCCTCCTTCAGTCTTTCTGAAAATATTTGGTACATCAACAGCACAAATTTACAAATTGTCACACCTACGTGACAAAAAATTGTGTAGTAAAACATTTGGACAGTGACCTCTCACTCTGAACATTTTCTCTCTATCACTACCTGGTTTTAATTATTCCAAAAATTTGACTAAATTTCTGAACACCGTTCTCAAGGTAGTGCATTTCGGGGGCTTATAGGCAGTTGGCTTACTTTTGAGAAGGGTGTTCAAAGATTTACCTTGGAGGTTTATGAGAAAGCTTTAAATATGAAGGGTCTGTATCTGCACTTCTTATTCAGGCAAACCTTCAACTGCTTATCTGAGAATAAGTATCAATTTTAGGTATTGTCAGAATGGATTAAGAATAGGAGATTTGGTCTATAGTTACTTTTCTTGCCACTGTTACAGCATCCAACAAGCAGTGGGGAAGAGCTAAGTGGTGTTTTCAGGTCTGATGCACTTAATGGCCACAATTTTTTTTTATTTTCAGACAAAACTGTAGTGGAGAAAAAGTTTCAAAATGCAAATAAAGGGTGTATTTTCAAATTCTGTCATTTTGATATTCACCTAAATTGTACCTGTTTATACATCAACTGGATTTTAACAAGGACATCACTAATTAATTATCCAAGAATGGTTTCAGAGAAAAAAAGTACATTAAAAAGGTGATTCAGGCCACTAATGGATCAAAATGGGATCAAAAAGGATTATAAAATTACCCACAAATATTGCACAGTTGGTTTTCCTTTCTCTGCAATAAGATTAGCAGACATTGCCAGGCCAGGAAAAGGTAGGAAAGGCCAGGTTCAGGAGGAGAACAGTTCTGACAAATGGTTTGGACAACCTCCTCTGTTCTCATGGGGAGTGACACTCCAAAGTACCTGTGTGTGCACGCGTCTGGAAGATGGTAAGGACACCTCAAGTTCAGTACTACTGAGCAAAGATGCTAATTCCATCAGTCAGGAGGTGAACCAACTCCCTCTGAGACTTCTCTCCTCAGTCCCCCAGAAGAATTAAGCAAGTGTCCTTGAAGAGGGTAGAAAAGCTAGATACTACCATTTACACCTATTTCATCTGTAGCTTTAGGGCTCACATACAGATCACATAAGTTAGTAGCTACTGAAGCTTCCTGTGAACATGGATGTAAAAACTGCCCTGATTCACAGAGACTGCTGCAAGGGTCCCTGGCTCTCATGGAAATATGCCTGCAGCATAAGGCTTCTTGATGGGAAGATAAAGAACATCTATTTGCTTTTGCTCCTATGGTTCACACTTCTCTATGTGGTAAGCACCACTCTCAAATCCTTGTTATTAAAATGCAATACACATAGGCATAAGGGGGGGGGAAAAAAAAGAGGTAAATAGCGAACCCTAGAACTATTCACTTTCCAAACTGCTTGCTTTGAATCCTAACTCAACGTAATTCATGCAGGCAGACTGAAAAGGTAAGATAAGACATCCAGATAGACAGAATGAACAATGCATGCTTTGACAAATGTTTACTAGCATCGACATGGTGCAGATGCATAATCTGCAGATCCTCCAAACAAGTGATAATAAGATCTTTATTGCACACTAATCAACACACTTTCCATACACATCACTTCTGAAACAGAAAAATGAATTTACTATTATCTTGGAGCAATCAACAAATAGATTGTGACATCTGTTTATGCAGTAAGAAAACGCAGTAAGAAAACGCAGTAAGAAAACATGTAGATTACAGTGTGGTTCAAAAGGTCTTATCTATCTTTGGCTACATGCAGGACCTGAAGGGGAGAGATCTCATCAATCAAGGAATATTAATATAAGATAAAGTGCTGAGAGTTCAGGAATCACTGGAGGGTCTTGTGGAAATAGCCTTCACATAGCAGGGGAGGGAGTATGGGATGGGGCAGAAGATAACAATGACATTTCTTATTGGTATGAATTAGAAGCAAATTAAATACCTTCTTTGGGATGGCTGCATTAAAGCTGAAACTTTATCATCAAAGAACTTCTTCATAGCAAATCTGTCTAGAGCCTGATCAGCACTGTCAAAACAGAGACACAGATACCATGTTATTTCAGTTCAGAGTTATCTTGGAAATTTAGCAGGTTACTGCTTGAAATATGCCAAAATAGTTGGAAGGAAAAAGAAGGAAAGGAAGGAAAAAGAAAAGAAAAAAGCCCCTAACTAGCAACTCTGGCACTTACAGGTCAGACAAGAATGTTTTTTCCACTGACACCTCATTCCACACCTTAAGACAGTTTCCTTCCTGAGGCAAAGCACCTATTCCCTTATTCAATTAACTTGATTACATATTTCCAACTTGAATATGTTAAAGTCATAATGCAATAAACTTTAGCAAAGTCAAGCAGCTCAGGCTGCAAAAGAAGGATACTTGCCATAATTTCCTGAGAGTGCCACTGAGGAGTTCTCTCTGCGAAACACAAACTTATTCTCTTTTTCAAAAAGCAGCAGCAACATTATGGAGATGAAAACCACTACCTAGCTCTGACTGTAGTACAGTACATAAGGTGCAAAGGAGGGCTAGAGGATCATTAAAGCAGTCAAATAATTCAGTCTTTGTTTCCTGTGCCCTGAGCTAGGGCCCACATCTAGTTCAACCTAAATGAGTCCAGAGGGGAAAAAAACCAACCAAACTGTACAAAGTATACATATGTATATCAGGCTAAAAAATGAATTTATACTTTTTTTCAAAAATTAATCAGAAGTTACTGATTATCTTGACAGGGTGCTGGATCAAGCTGTAAAGTCATGCCTTTTCTTCATGGATGTTACAGATTACATAGCATGTGCTTAGAATATCCTTGACCCAAAACTTCTCTTCTTCATCCAACCCATCATACATCTTCATACATTTTCACCCACACTACCACCTAGAATTTAGGCAACCCAATTGTAACTGGCCAAAGAATGCTAGTACTTTTCTTGTAAAAACAGTTTACAAACTATTACAAAGAGCTCTGTCCTCATTAAATTTGACGGCACATTATTCCTTACTAAATGAGAAAATTAGATATTTATAACATACAGCTAAAATGGGCTTGCATCATGAGGCTTTTTCACTAAGCCTAGATTTTTTGGCATGTGCATGCAGACAATTAGAAACTTTATTTAGTGTGAACATCCTCAAAGTCTTCCGAGTATCACTTCTGACACAGCAGCTGACACTATCAACAGCGGCGCCTGCAGTAATTTCTGCTTCTGTGAGGTTGCCGTGTACCATTTTGAAGAGTCTTGATAATGATATGGATATACAAATCCTAGCTGGGAAACTTCCCCAACTTCATTCTTACACAGAAAAGTTAAGTTTGGCTTGGAGCTGGCAGATAATAAAAAAATTTAAAGGAGGGCTTCCAAATTCACTCCTCTCCTGCAACCTCAACTGGAGGAATCCAGAATTTGTTTGGGGTAAAAGATGACACCTTTCATTGTTGGGCTTTACAATCACATCCAGGTGTTGTTCTGTTATGGCATTACTAAAATGTATTTATAGCCAGGTGCCACCTTTAAGGATGACACAATATTGCAACACTGAGATCACAACATAGTATTGTACTATCCTCACTTGACAGATTTTGTCATTCACAATACTTCTCAACAAAATATTATAGAATTGTGTCAATCACTGTCCCAATTACTTCTTGAAGATATATGTATTTATTTTTTCAGCACATATTGGTGTGTATGATGCACTTAATTTCTTAGTCTACAATTACCTGTTGATCAGGCTTACCAGAGTGAACACAGATTATTTTTTGAGATGCTGGTTTTACTGAAATCCATAAGTAATTTGCCATCAGCCTATAGTGATTCAGGACTTCATCCACTACAGTATTGGATCAAATCTATAGATAGACTGGTGTGAATTCAGAACAAAATTTGATTTAACCATGGCCTTCACAGTGCATTTTGATTTTAACACATTTATATAAAAGAGACGAAGGGAAAACAAATTGATTAAAAACAAAAAACCCAAATCAAAACACATTTCATCATTTTGAGATCATTTATCAAATTTTATCTTTGTTGACATAGCTTTGTTGTCAATTTTAATTTCATAATTCAAGCACTCTAAATGAAACAATTAAAACAAGTAATCAGACACCTATTGTTTGAACTAACTGCAAGATAAAGTCTAGATTATTTCTTAAACTGCATTCTGCACTTTGATCAATGTCTAGGAATTCCCTATTGAAATACTGATTCCAGATTCTATTAACTGTTTTCCTTAAGTACATTAGGAATAGTTTACCATTGATTGAAAAGAGACAACTTCATGAATGTGGCAAATAGATGTGTTTAATAGAATAAAGATGGTATATACTTTATAACCATTATATGAAAATGATTTCTTGCACAGTTCTTTATTCATCTTGAAAGACTCTTTAGATAATCTTCCTGTAGAATCATTGAATATCTCCGATCAGAAGGGACCTTAGGGTGTCACCTAGTCCAACATACTGCTGAAAGCAGGACCACAAGAAAACTGCACCATGAAAGCAGGCTGTTTTAAGACATACTCCAAGACTCTTTGAGAAGAAAACTTGACAATCCTTAACTAACAATAAGCTGACAAACAGTACTACAATTAAAAGGCATCTTTTTCCAATGTTTCCTTAATTGTAAAAAACACACAATATGCATTATTCACAACTTACCTTGCAGAAACATTGGTGAAGTGCATATATGATGATATAACTACACCTATCCTTCCTTTTCCTCCCTGTAGTAAGAAAAAGGGAATGATAACTTATTTAATTTATTACATTATTGGGCATTATTTTATTTAAGACTCATTCTAAACAAAATTTTAATACAGGAGATTCAGAGAGTCCTTCTGTTCATGCATTTCCTGTGTTGTTAGAAAGCTGGTAATGATGGGCAGCAGTATGTCTATCTATGCAAGCTGGCCAACAAGTGACATAAAAAACACTAAGTAGTATTTCTATGTGCATGCCTGTCAAGTCTTACAGACTGAGAGGAAATTATTTAAAAAAAACCAACCAACCAACCAACAAAAAAAAAAAACCCAAAAACCCCAAAACCTTGGCCAGTAGTAGAAACATTGTATTGACTATTCTAATTCTATTATTTTTCCCAGAAACATTGTATCAACTATTCTAATTTTATATTACTTTTCCCAGAGCTCATTCAAGACAAGCCTAGGCAATGTTGCAATATCTGGCACAAAATACTATAAAATACCTTTTTTTGGAAAGCATACGAGTTTCCAGCAGGTTTGGGCATTTTTACCTCCCCAGCACCTGAGATTTGTAACAATTACTACTTATTTTTCTATGGATAATTTAAAATATGTTCCAAAATCTTATTAAATAATTTACATGACATAAATTCAGTACAATTTTCCAAACGGTAATTCTCACAGATTTCAAAACAATATCAGTCTCTCAGCTGCTACAAGTAGCTGTATCTATCCTCATGGATGAAAGCTTTAAAGTCATTACCAAAAGGCATTAATCAACAATATACACTACCAATCTGTATACAAAATACCTAGGAATACTTTGCCCTCTTTTCTTTTGTCCCATGTATGGGTTATTCTCCTGGCTACAGTCCTGCAACTAGTAAGAATTCAACAGTGTTTCATACAATCATGGCATTCTGCCTACAAGCAATTCAGGTCTGGGGAACAACCTGACTTCAAGACAAGTTTTGGTCCCATTATCACCCTCGCTCGGTTTAGAGTAATGTCGGCCAGTGATAAGGAGACAGATTTGCCTCAAGTGTCACTAGCACAGCTATCAACTCAGTTCTGATTTAAATTTATCTGTATTTAATTGTAATGGGTTTGTGTGGTAAGGTTTTGGTAGCGGGGGGGCTACAGGGGTGGCTTCTGTGAGGAACTGCTAGAAGCTTCCCCTGTGTCTGATAGAGCCAATGCCAGCTGGCTCCAAGACGGACCC